TAGCTCTGTGTTTATAGGTGGAAATCTAAAGAAAGTTGTTACTTTTTCACAATAAATGCTCAAATAAAAATAAAAATAGTTGGAAATGAATTTAATATAAAAAATATCGGCAAAGGGGATATGATTATAGGTGGAAATCTAAATAAAGTTGTCACTTTTTACCGTTTAATTAGTGACTGTTAGCATATTGATTCACATAAATGACGTACATTTACACATATAAATACAATAAAACCACACCATGATGTCTTCTTCTATGGCTTCTTCTTCTCCAGGTATCTCAGTGTTTATAGGTGGAAATCTAGATAAAGTTGTCACTTTTTATCGTTTAATTAGTGACTGTTAGCATATAAATTACGTACATATACACATATAAATACAATAAAACCCCCTGAATGTCTTCTTCTATGGTTTCTTCTCCTCCAGGTAGCTCTGTGTTTAAGGCCTTCTTCTTCACGCCGACCTTCTCCCCGGAGGACGGGGCCTCCTGCGTGCACACGCACGTGTGCCTGTGCACGCCGGAGAGCGTGACCCCCCACGCCCCCCCGCTGCTCTACGACCTGCGCGGGGACCCGGGCGAGGCCCGCCCGCTGACCCCCCGCTCCCAGCCGGACCTCCACATGGACCTTTACCTGGACGTCTACCTGGACCTCTAGCCCACCGGGGGGCGCTGCAGCCCGGGGACAGCCAGATGTCCCCCGCCCGCCTGATGTGGAGGCCCGGGCTGCAGCCCTGCTGTGGAGGCCTGGGCCGGCTCTGCCGGTGCCCAGGTCAGTCATGAGGAACCCCGAGGAGCCCTGAGGAGCCCTGAGGGGGGCCTGAGGAGTCCTGAGGAACCCTGAGGAGCCCTGAGGAACCCTGAAGGGGGCCTGAGGAGTCCTGAGGAACCCTGAGGAGCCCTGAGGAACCCTGAAGGGGGCCTGAGGAGTCCTGAGGAGCCATGAGGAACCCTGAGGAGCCCTGAGGAACCCCGAGGAACCATGAGGCCTCCAGCCTGGACTTCACCTGGGCCTCTACCTGGATCTCTACTTGGACTTCCACTTGAAGCTCCTCCTGGACCTCCACCTGGACCTCCATTTTGGGCCTCTAACAAGGCCTCCGCCTAGGCCTGGGCCTGGGCATCTGGACCTCGACCTGGACCTTCACCTGGACCTTCACCTGGACCTCCACCTGGACCTCCACCTAGACCTCCACCTGGACCTCCACCTGGACCTCCACCTGGACCTCTACCTAGACCTCCACCTGGACCTCTAGCTAGACCTCCACCTGGACCTCTAGCTAGACCTCCACCTGGACCTCTAGCTAGACCTCCACATGTACCTTTACCTGGATGTCTACCTGGACCTATAGCCCACCGGGGGGCGCTGCAGCCCGGGGACAGCCAGATGTCCCCCGCCCGCCTGATGTGGAGGCCCGGGCTGCAGCCCTGCTGTGGAGGCCTGGGCCGCCTCTGCAGGTGCCCAGGTCAGACCTGAAGGGGGTCTGAAGGGGGGCCTGAGGAACCCCGAGGAACCCTGAGGCCTCCATATGGACCTTCACATGGACCTCCAATTAGATCCATAGGAGCCCTAAGGAGCCCTGAAGGGGGCCTGAGGAGGTCTTAGGAGCCCTGAAGGGGGCCTGAGGCCTCCACCTGGACCTACATATGGACCTCTACCTAGACCTCCATTTTGGCCTCCACATGGACCTCCACATGGGCCTCTATCTAGGCCTCCACCTGGATCTCTACCTGGACCTCCATTTTGGCCTCCACCTGGGCTTAAATCTCAACCTCCACCTAGGCCTCCACCTGGAGGTCCTCCTGGACCTCTACCTGGACCTCTAGCTAGACCTCCATTTTTGGCCTCCATCTGGACATCTACCTGTACCTCTAGCTGGACCTCCATCTTGACCTCTAGTTGGAGCTCCTCCTGGACCTCCACATGGACGTTGTTGGGCATGTTGAGTTGGAGAAACATCTTGAACTTAGAAAGACCCAAGACCTCCACATGGACCTCTACCTGGACCCATACCTGAACCTCCACCTGGACCTTTACCTGGTTCTGGTTCTGATGGAGGTTTCTCCTGGTTCTGGTTCTGATGGAGGCTGATCCAAAACCCGGTTCTGCTTTAGCCCCAGAACCGGTTCTTTTTCCATCATCACCACAGAGAAATGAGGGATTTTGCTCCTTTTTAAAAAACATAATTGGACTTTTTACCAAATTTTTAATCTTTAAATCAACAAATGAGTTCCTGGCCTTTGTGAATTTGTTTATTGATTAAATAATTTGGCCTTTTGGAATTAATCAGTCCTTCTTTCATTAAACGAATCAGCCTTTTTTTCCATTTTAGTTAATTAAATCACTTTTTAGCTAAACAGACTTGTTTTTTTAATTAAATGATTTAAGAAATTAATTGTCAATTAGTTTGTTTTTATTGTTTTTTATGAAAATGTTTTTTACATCAAAAGAAATTGGCATTTTTTCATAAAAACAACTGAATATCTTAATTCAATTAATCTGTGCTTTTCATCAACTGAATTGACTGAATAAAGCATCATTTTCAAAATTAAATTAATAAGCTTTTTTTCCTTTTAATTAAATAAAACATTTTAATTAAATAAAACAGCCTTGTTTAATTCAATTAAATGTATTAAGTCAACTTTTTAAATTCATGTTATTTCTAATGAATTGATGTTGCCTTTTATATGAAAGAAAATGACACTGATTTTTTATTTAAATAAATGACTCAGTCTTTTTAAATTAATCAGATTGTTCATTTTTTGGGATATTTCTGCAAACACACCAGCAGAGGCTACCACTTCTCTGGTTTCCAGAGGTTTCTTTTATTCCATTTCAGTTCAATTCGACCAACGAAAGTCTTCTAAAGGCACCTCAAAGACAAAACACAGAAGAATCCAGTCAATCGGATCCAAATGGGTCTGGTTTTGTGGAAGAAACACCAGAGGAACCTGCTATTTGTCTCAGGTAGTCTCCTAGGTAGAACCTCCAACTTATTGTCCCCGTTTGGCAAAGAGGAAGGTACCTTCTGGAACTGTGGGGGGGGGGCATCAGCTCATCAGATTCTCTCTCTTCAGGAACCTCAGGGCGTCGGAGAACCCCTCCTCACAGAGAGAGTTCATTATGCCGGAGG